ACCGCCGACTCGATAATTTAACACTGGCGCCATCTCGCGGCATTCTCCCATCTGAACTTCTTTACCACACAGCACACCATCAATAATTTCTCCTAATTATACAAAATAACCTATTAATGGGTATTAATTGGGACCAATTGTTTGTCTATCAGCATTTAAATAATTTTTTGATTATATTCCAATCATTTTTGGCCCATTTTTCGCCTTAAAATGACATCCATGCACATCCATGCTACATCCATGCTACAACATGGATCCTTATTCGCCAGGGATGCGAAAGAGCCTGCGTGTGGTATGTAGGCTTTGAGTGTGATACATAGGCTCTGCGTATGACACACAGTTTCTGCGTGTACCATGCATGATCACGAATATGCAGAGCCTACGTGTAATCCCCAAAGCCTGCGTGTAATACGCAGCGCTTGCGTGCAATACGCAGGCTGTTTCGTATCCGTGCGTGAAACAGGCAGGCTCTTTCGTATCCGTGTACGGAACACGCGGACACTTTCGTAATCATACGTGGCACACGCAGAGCTTGCATATCACACGCAGGCTCTTTCGCATCCGTGCGTGGCACACGTAGAGCTTGCGTGTAATACGCAGGTCGGCGTATTTCACGCATAGTGCTTTTAGCCACGGCTTAATTTAATAGTAGCACAGAGAGAATATATATCTTCTGGAATTGACACAAAAATGACTTCAATGAAATTGTGCAGCTCAAATAGCAATGTGGTGGCCTTTATACAAATTGTTTTTTTTCTTCGACTAAAACTGTGTTGAGACTCTAGTGAAAGTAATTAATTAGGAATCGAATATCTTGAATTGCGTAAAGTCTTCCTTTTGTAGATACTGGTAATAGACTGTAGTGCACCATAGTCAGTTACCAATATCATTCTAGATTGGCTGGTCATTAGATTTCTCTCCCGATCATACATGGGGGATATTACTTGAAGACGTGATCCCAGGAGGTGTTATTTATTCAATTCTTCAATATTCATTCCAGGTAGATAGGTTAGGAATAATAAAGGATGCTAGTATACATTGCTATACCAGTACAATACCTGGTGAATTTGCTATGACCTTTTTTTGAAGTTCATTTATTCAACAATAATATGTCGAATTCTATTGCAGAATAATAAAATTAAGTTCTTCTTAGTGTTATTATTCTGAAATAATCATAAGACAAGTGTTTGTTAATGGCGGATTGTCAATAAAATGATTGATATCTTTCAGGCGAATACAGCTGTCTGAAAGTGGATTTACATTTTAAAAGAGAATTCAGTTACTATCTCATTCAGATCTACATTCCATGCTGTATGCTTGTCATTGTGTCGTGGGTATCCTTTTGGCTGGATCAGAGCGCCGTGCCTGCCCGAGTATCACTCGGTAAGACGATATGGACAATCACTACGTGGCTTAACTTTATTGATCTTCCACATGATATACTGTCAAGTGTTAGGAATGAGTAGAATTGCCTTTAGTTTTTACATGTTTAATGGAATGAAGAATTCATTCGCTATTGATGTTTCGATTTCCTTAGTCTTATTGGTTTTTGGGAATAACGATTGATTTTTCCATTTATCTCATTTTCTTTTTTTTTTTCTCTTTTCATTCCTTCTTTCCACTGGGGGTTTTCTTCCTGCGTAGGAGTGACGACACTACTCACAATGGCAACACAAACATCTGGAATAAATGCCTCACTGCCACCGGTATCTTATACGAAAGCCATCGACGTTTGGACTGGTGTGTGTTTGACATTTGTGTTTGGTGCGCTACTTGAATTTGCACTCGTCAATTATGCCTCACGTAGCGATATGCATCGGGAGAATATGAAGAAGAAATATCGTGAAATTGAACATTCAGCATCCGTCGATCCGGCAACGGAACTGCTAGAACCGGATGGCTCAACAAATTTTCAGATGGTCAGTTTCTCAAATGAATTATAGTAGATAATCAAAAATTTAGTTGTAAGTTTGCATGATCATGGATCGGACAAGAGTCATTTGATTGAGAAGATAAATCAAAATTTCACAAAGACCTTAAAGACTTGGAAAGCCTTTAAAGTTGGAGAAATGGATCGGGACTTTACAGTTAGTTGAAGAAAAAAAAAACAAATTCTAAAAAAAAAGAAAGGAAATAGAATCCGATCTATGGTGTTCCTACACCAAACCAAGAGCCGTCCAATTTCTTTCAGAAGCCTCTCGTCCGACACCGGGAGGATACGATGTCAATGGATAAGATGCGCCAGTGCGAAATACATATGCAACCACAGAAAAAAAACTGCTGCAGGTCGTGGCTTTCCAAGTTCCCGACGAGGTCCAAGCGCATCGATGTAATATCACGGATCACCTTTCCTCTCGTATTCGCACTGTTCAACCTCGCGTACTGGTCCACGTACCTATTTCGGGAGGAAGTAGACGACGAATGAATAGCGAAGATGAGGAGGAGGATGAACATCTTGGATCAAGGAACGATGTGGCTCGCGGCCATTTTTATCATCCACACACACGTCATCGGGCACGCAATCATCACTCGCACCATGGTAACCGTCATCAGCATTCTCACCATTCACACTCGCACCATCAGCACAACAATTCCTATAATCGTCCACGCCATCGTCAACAACAATCACCAACTTTGTCAACACATACGGCAGATGGTGATGTCCAACAATCTTCACCAGGTGGTATGTCGTCTAGATTACCATCGCGTGATTCAACGTCACCTGTATCTTCCCGGGTGGTAACACCATCACCACCACCACTATTACATCGCACATCTGACAAACCAAAGAATAAATTTTCACGTTTACCACTGAGTCAAACGGAGAAATGCTGCTTTGGTCTTATACCAATGCGTTATTTTACCTGTCATGCTAAGGGAAGTGCAAGAATTGACGTTTTAGCACGTTTTGCTTTTCCATTCATGTTTGTCGTATTCAATTTTGCTTACTGGTCTATGTACCTCTTTCGAGGAGAAGAGGAAACTAAGATGAGCTGAGGAACGAGTGTAAATGATTATAGAAAGAATGAAAATCTAAGGGCGAGTTGATATTAATTTCTTTAATGGAAAAAGCATTTTTATTTATGAAAAATTGGAATAACTTGAGCAAATTTTCAATACAAGAAAGAATAACGCGGAAACAAATTGATTGAATAATATCCTTCGTTGATGTGCTCGGTACAATCAATCGTTTATACCAGGATTGCAGGTGTCGAGATCATACGATTGAATGCTCAAACATATTAAGAAAGCAACCGGAAAGAAAGTGAGTTATTAATATAAAGATAAATTCGGGGAACACTTCTACACAAAACGAGTTTGGGCGAGAATGAATCATTTGAGTGAATGCGAAATTTGTAGCATTAATAAATTGAGTGATGAACCGCGTGCCACAGAGTGACGTTTATGAAGGGGGTCTCGATAGTCACGGCCTTTTGAAATGATCTAGAAAAACTATGAAGAAGAAAAGCAGAGAAATAAAATATGCATACACATTTATAATTATTATATGTATGTATCGGCAAGTATCTTGTTATAACAGTCAGTGAGTCCTGTTTATATGAAAATGAAGAGAAAAAAATAAAAAATAAAACAAAAGAGTATTCAATTCAGACTTTTAGCCTCACGATATACAACTCGATGGAGAGCGAAGAATAGTACATTAGAGTACAAGGGCACAAATTTCGTTTTCAACGAATGTGTGTACAGACCTCGCCTTCGGCTCGGCCTGTGAAGTACACATTCGTTGAAAACGAAATTTATTACCGAGTGCTCTATAATATTTTACGTCAAGTCGTGCAGAAGTCGAGTTTTGAGCAAGCTGCGCGAAGCGCAGCGTGCGATGAACTCGACTTATTGCACGGCGCGACATAAATAAAAATTTCTCTTTCCACTAATTCGAAACGAGCTTGCCATGAGTATTCTATATTCCTCTGAATTAAAAAAAGTACAAGTTCACTCAACTATCAACGTGAGTCGTCGTAGAAAGCTTGGGTGATCTATGGTAAGAAATTGAAAGGAATCGGAGAAACATATAAAAATAAGTAAATCAAAAATTATACCAATGTCTAGAAGAGGTTTTTATACGAGGACATCACACAGTTTCATCAAAAAATTGTAATGCAAAAAATTTATAAACTATTCGTTAACTGGCACAATTTTGTCATCCATAGCTGAAATGGATTTTAAAAATGCGTATGAGAATGTCATTGAAATAGTATATTTCGTTACGAGTGCGGAAAAGTGTTTTTTGGCTCGTGGGATTATATCACTCGCCTTCGGCTCGTGCTATAAACCTCCCATGTGCCAAAAAACACTTTTCCCACGAGTATCGAACGATATTTTTCATCACAATGTGCGGAAAAGGGACGTTTTAGGCACGCGAAGCGTGCCTAAAAAATTACTTTTTCGCACAGCGTGATGAAAAAATTAATAAACCGGGGTTAATCTAGAAACAATTCGAAATGAAACAAAAAATGATTTTTTTAATTTTATAGAGTCTAGAAAGCAACTGAGACCTCACTCTCCTGAGCAATTCAGGATAGTATTGATTTATAACAAAAATAGAGTAGAAACGCTATGAGTTAATTCGTTGGGACTCATTATTTCTGAATGTACAATTTGAGAACTACATCAATTTAAAAAGAGGTAAAGCTGCAAAATCATTGGCGATGAGTGACAAATGGTCTATTTTACGTTTCAATTGCTAATCGACCGGTAAATTTAGCGTCGATCGCGCCCGACGCTCGTCAACGAATGGGACGCATGGATGACAGGAATTTATATCATTGCATCGAAGGGATTGGGCAGGGTACAAGAGTAAAAAAAATTCCAATGTTGATAGAACCATTAATTTGAAATAAAATGAAGAGCGATGACGCTATCTTTATTTCCTTCAACATTTTATTCCGTTTCTCTCTTCCAACTTTTTCTCCGCCCATTTCAGGCATCAATATCGATGCCTATTCATAAAAGTAGAGAGAAAATTATAAAAGATTTTCGCAACTGAGATATACAGTTGATTGAATAATTTAAATAAACCCACAAAATTGAAAAAATATTTTCAATCAAAAATTAAGCATGGATTATATCGATATAAACGTTGGAAAGTAATTGTTATAGATATCCTCGACGAGTCATGAATTATAATTTTCGGTTGATTGAAGAAAAACAAGAAGAATTAGAGGAAATCTCGTATGTAAAATGGGATGAGAATTTCCATATTTTATTGTGGAATAAATGAAGATTAAATGAAGAACGTGAATAAAGAGAACATATTGAAAAACATTGAAAAATGATACGAGGCGTTCTAGAAAATAATCACTGTTAGTGTTGATAGTTGCACTCACTATAAAATGTAACAATAAAATGGAAGGAAAAAAAAATAAACTTCATGCATTAATATTCATTCAAAATTAATCGCCATCCCACTGTAAATAATTATCAGTCCTCAAAAGGTTTCCAGTGAAACACAAACATTACATTAAACAACGATACAATTGGCATATCTATACAGGGCGATCAAGAGGGGAAAGAATGCAACCCCAACATGGAAACATTTTCAAGATGTTCCATTGCAGTTCAGAATGCCCCTGATCTGCAAAGGAGGAGTGAATTTCATAAATGAAAAATAAATCAAAGAAAACGAACGAAATCATGTCGCTCAAGCGAATGGACCACTACGAGAAAAATTTTAAAACCGTCAAAAATATGAATTAAAAAGTGACTCGATGATAGACTGGTGTGAATCATTTTTTAATCGCACCAGAATGCTCCCGAGAAATATACAGGTATTTAGGTATTTCAGGTTTACATGCATGCTGATATACCTTTTTAAAGAAAAAAAATGGGTAATAAAGGACAATTTAAAAAGAAACGTCCACAAGGTTGTACCATTGAGAGGAGTATATGCACACTAGATGGGAAGTACGAAATCGAAAGTGAGGAACTTTAGAATACTTAAAAAACAATACAGAAAAGAGGATGTATGAATTAATAAACCTAATTAACACGAGATGTAGAACGAAACGTGCTAATGTGACGAACATTTATAAGTAAACCTTGCGTAACACCTGAAAACGAAAGAAAAATAAATAAATATATATATGAAAATAAAATGGATTTGACGAGGACGAGATGAGTTTTATAACTGTCACAATATTTAGTTTCATGCCCAAATGGGATAAATTTGAAAAAGAAAACAAAAAAAGGAAAACAAAACCAAAGGAGCGTAGAAAATTTGTTTATTAATCATATTAATGATATTGAATGTTGATATATTTAATATAAGTATCATCTCGTGTCACAATCAAATCGAGCTCTGTCAATAATTAAAATGGTTAGATTTGCATTTACTTGCATTTGTTATTTTTGGCAATGAAAAAGCACACTCATATATTCAGTGCGAGAAAGTTTTGATTACTCTAATGGTTTTGTTGAATTTATGTAGATCTCATTAACGCGGGTCGTAATAAGAAAATCAATCACGATTGAATTATTTAATTAAAACACCATAAACGGAAAAAATAACACTGTCACCATTGAAATGGGAGCTATTGAACTCTGTGAGAAATTTTTAAAATTATATCCGTGTTATATTACCCTTGTAAGAACACTGAAAGAAAAACAAACACGTTTTCAAACAAGCCTTGTTTGGGTCAATAAAATCGCTATAATTGAAAATTGCCAAAAACGAAGTCAAAATTGGTTCGAATTCGAAAGTCTCAAATATGCATAATTGCTCTGCTTTCGACAACGAAATATTTGGCTCAAGAGGCGGATAATTCACATGAGACTGTGCCTTTTCAGGATGAAAATATCTCATCCAGAGGAAAATTTATCAAGAAATATTTTGCCTCCAAGTTACAAGATTGCTATATTATTATGATTGTTTCATTTAATAGTGCATTAGAGTACAAGGGCACAAATTTCGTTTTCAACGAATGTGTGTACAGACCTCGCCTTCGGCTCGGCCTGTAAACTACACATTCGTTGAAAACGAAATTTATTACCGAGTGCTCTATAATATTTTATGTCAAGTCGTGCAGAAGTTCAGTTTGGAGCAGGCTGCGAGAAGCGCAGCGTGCGATAAACTCGACTTATTGCACGGCGCGAAATAAAGGTTCATTTCTCGAGCTCATTATTAGATAGCTGAAACAAAAAACTACTATATCCCTTGTTTCCCATAAAACGAACATTTTTCGGGAGCAAAATACGCATGGGAGTATCGAATAACGAAGAAGTAGTGTTGAAAATGACATTTTTTGTGTGTACAGAGAAGGTAATTTTTTTGACTACTAAATCTATTTTTGTGACCAAAATTTTTCATCTCAGCGCACTCTGCATAGTTGGCACACAAAAAATCCCTTTTTTTATAAGTTTCAAAAAACTATTTTCTTGGCACAAGTAAGACTTGTTTGAGAACTCTGACGTTTTTCTCTCAGTGTTAAATATAAATCAATAAAATTGTTTTCCATAAACATAAATGAGCAGTGGTAAGTCTGAATAAAATTTTATTTTATCTATGGCATGAAATTAAATTATTTCATTCAATTATATTCAACGAGTGCTCGAGTGGTCACTTGAAAGCTGAGAAGATATAGCATGAAAATTGTGTGCAGAAAACGTCATCAAACTTATGGAGACAAAAAGTAGTTATTTCAATTTATGCGAGACAAGATTTGTAAACGTGGATAAAAACGACATAATAAACAACACAAGACGCCGTATTCATTCTGCTGCAAGGTTGCTCAATTATTGATATTTAGAAGTTCTTAAAAGAGAAAAAGAGAAAAAATAAACAAGCCCTATAACAGTATTATGAGATTAACATAAAAATTTTACCTACTACTGATGTAATTGAATACAAAGTATGAAAAATAATAGAGAAAAAAATGGAGAATAAATATAAAAAAATTCGATGCTTGTCTTTGTTTTATTAAAGAAAAATCATTTTTCATTCAACATAGTTTTACAATTAGAGTAATTTTGTTAATATCTGCTTGGTTGGTCATCATTTTTTAGGTTTTTCTCTTTCATCAGTTTCCGAAATTCTTCTTGTTTCTGCTTCTGTTTCCTTTTCCGTTCTAGCCGTATTTTCTCATCTGTCATAGTTACGAAAATCATGAAAGAAAGTGCAAAATTCATTTCTTCATCAATTCAAATATTTCAGAACCATTTTTGTAAGGTTAGGTACTTGAATTAATTTCCACTTTTTTCAAAGATCACATAAGTAATATCATTCGTGCATAAGTAACCATCAAACATACCTTATGTATGGTTATCTATGTAAGTTGAAATACTATCCATCAGTTAAGAAAATAGTCTATATCATTCGATTAAACTATAAGCATTGTGATTTTTCATTGCATCGAATATATCATGTTTTTTTGCCTACACAATAATTGTTGAAGCGTTAAATTTTTTTATTGTAATTCAATGGAATCTGTAGCTGAAATTATCATTTACTGGTGAAAGGTTATGATGAATATGCCCTACCTAAAATTACTTGCCAATAATGATTTTGATTATTCAAAAGTCACCATGTCCTAGCTACTTGAACTTATGTTTGCTTTTTCCATAGATGACGTGAGTAATACAACTTTCACATTATTCATATATGTATAACACTCGCCTACCGATGCGAAAGTGCTGTTCATAAACTGTCAAATTTCGTATATGGGACATTCCATGTTAACTCAGCCAACCCTCAATTTGTTTGGTTCTTAGAATCCTGAACTGATATACTGACAGTCAAGTACTACATAAGTACATGTTGTCTCTAAATTTTCTCGCCTTTAACATCAAATGTTTGTCTACGACATGCGTCAAAAACTCAAATTTTTGAAAAAATATATCTTGCGAACCAATTTACGGATTTTTATAAATAATTTTTTTTTTCGTTTTTTCACGTATTTTTCAAAGAAAAATACGATAGTATTACGAGGATAAGTAATAGCCCTTATTTCGAGTTTTTTATTTTTCGAATTCCACTGTTACACAGGGACCAGTCGAAAATCAATTGATTCTTTTCTTCTTCAATAGATAATAATAATACACAACTTTTTCGGGGTATTTCAATATGTGACTTTCATATGAAAATAAGAAAAAAAAATTTTTTCATGAAAAAAATTTTTTTTTCGACATTGATGACTACAGGCGGAGCAAAACAGATCTGGGGGCAAGAAGAGACCCCGGGGCAAAATGAAACCCCTATAGCTTCTTTCGTTTTCCAATAAGAGGAATGAGTTCAGTATTCTTTGTTCATGTAACGTTGGCTTACAGATTACATATGAAGAAGGAAATTATATCAAAGAAAATGCCTTGCGAGGGTCAAACGTCGCGCGTGTCATACCTCGTGAATCAAATGTCGCACACTGTTGAAAAATTCAAGCCGAAATTTTCGGTACACTTTTCGGAAACTTTTATCTCATTATAACTCCACTGATTTTCCAAGGAATTTTGGCATTGAAAATTCAAAACTTCATGTAAAAATCAATGAAAACCGTGAATTTCAATTCAATTTTGCCTTAGAAATTGATAAAAATCGGGAAAATTCAAGTCAATATATTCTTGAATTTCAATATATTGATAATTTAGCGTCATTTGGTACTGAATGTTCATACGATTTCATTTTACATTCTAGGAAGTCAGAGAATTCTCATCTTCCTGCTGCTTAAAGATTTGAAATTTCATTTAATTTTCAGTGAAAACTGAAGTTTCATGATTCTGCCCTCTGACACAGATTCAGTGTCTTCCTCATGAAAATTACTAGTTAACTGTCTATGAATTTTCAATTTTTTTCCAACAGTGCGAGAATCATAACTTGCAAGGGTGAAGCGTTGACAAGGGTTAAACAGCAGAAGTAGGCAGGGAAATCTCCAGGTATGGTTGACTCTCGCAGTTTAATCCTTGAGATTGTCCTGCCTGCCGCTCTTTTTGCACTCTGGTCATCGTTTGACCTTCATGAGTTATGATTCTTACGAGGTCCGAGACTCACGAGTTGTGATCCATCTGAGGTTTAACCCTTCCAAGGTAGGACCCTTGCAATTGATGATCCTTGCCACATTTGATTTTCGCACTTCAACCCTTGCCCTTCTCCTGTGAACCTCAGAAATTATTTCGCCCTTAAGAACGTTCCATCTGTTCGATTACATAACCCGTCCCTTTTCTTTGACCGTTGTAAACCTCGTGAGCCAACACATTGCTCATCGAATCCCGAAGGGGGCATGATCGTTGAAACCCACAACTGATTCCCCTCCCCCCCGGGCCACTTGAATATTTTCCCATACCCAGTAGAATTCAAAGATAGATTTAATCTCATTTATCTTGTCATATGACAAGATATTTATTATATAATGATGAATTAAATCTGTTGAGCTTTTTAGATTCCATTCAACTTGCTGTTCTTCAGACCACCATGGATTTGTCTGATTGCATATTCAAACTCCTTAAAATTGAATATTTTATTAATAAGTGTAGAGAACTTAATCATTTGTGTAAAACCTCAAACTTTACAGGAGTTCCATTTTGTCCCGGGGTCTGTATTGCCCCGCTGTTCATTTTACCCCGCCTATAGCCATTAATGTCAAAAAAACGAATTTTTCATAAATTTTTTTTTCTCACCTCCATATGAGAATCACAATTTGAAATACCCTGAACGAGTTGTGTCTTATTATTATCCATCGAAGAAAAAAATAATTAATTGATTTTCGACCGGCCCCTGTGTAACAGTGGAATTTGAAAAATAAAAAAATCGAAAAAAGGGCTATTACTTGTCCTCGTAGTACTGTCGTATTTTTCTTTGGAAAGGACATGAAAAAACGAAAAAAAATCTTTTTTTATTCATCAAAATCTGTCAATTTGCTTGCAAGATATGATTTTTTAAAAATTTGAGCTTTGACACATGTCGTAGATAAACAATTGATATTAAAGAGCGACAATTTAGAGAAAGCATGTACTTATGTAGTACTTGACTGTCAGCATGTCAATTCAGGATTTTGAGAACTAAAACAATTCAGGGTGGCTGAGTTGACATGGAATGTCCCATATAATATCCGGGCAAAGTATAAACATTTTATTTTTTTTATTACATCAAAAATGTTAAGTTTCTTACCTACAAAACAAAACTTCAGCAACACTACATTTTTACTACAATTCGGGAGAATCTCTAGTGAACCGTCATAGTTTACTGATGAAAGTTCACGGCAAACATGCTCGATGTGAAATTACTGGCAAAAAAGAGATTTTTTTCTATGACAATGTTCGTCTACATGTTGCTAACACGGACATGGTGTCTTCTGATTATCTTTTGTTCACGTCGATGCCACTTGGTTTTATGAAGATATCGCAAAATTGGTCGACAATTGAATGGCACCGCGAAACTGAAACTTCTTTCGTGGCGAAATCCGTTCTTTCCGCAAAAACGATAGCAAAGCAATAGCTAACGGTGGACAGTACTTTCTATAAAATGTAAATCATTTTTCAACTAAAAACAAACACTTTTGCCTTACACAAAACAGACGGAAATTGATTCGAGTACTCAATAAGAAAATATAAGCACCAGTGGAAGTTGATTTCAAACTTTGCCCAGTTTCAACTGCTGATTTACCAATTTTATTAGTAGCTGATGGAGTAATGAGGATGTTGGCAAATGGCGTAACTGAGCGGCCATCAATTAGTATTAGAGGTTTATCATTCGTAGTTGGTTGAGTTTCTAAACTTAGCCTCTTAGCTGGTGGCTCATTCAAGTCTTCCTTAGGTTTGGCATTAACTTCTGAATCATCTGAAGCAATAATTCACAGATATGCGGATATTCCTGGAACAAGGACATTCAAACATCAGAAATGTCGGAGACCATACCAGTCGATTCAGTAGGACTTTTCGGTCGTTTCACAGCAATAGTCGATGAAGTTGCCTTAACTTCTGGCTTATCAACAATTTGATTATCAGTGGACAATGGGGTATCACAAGTTTTAAGTTTTTGCCTGTGCTTCTTTCCAATAATCTTGCTTATTTTATCCTCAATAATACCACCGAAGCAGATGAGAGCTTTTTTCAATCCATGAGTTATTGAAGACTAGAATATATAGTTTAATAAAATTTCACATTTTCACGGTGAAGTGATAGAACGACTTGTGGTGAAAATTTGTGTATAATATTATAATTCTTTGTCAATATCTCTGAAAGTCAATCAGAAAAACTTCATCGTAACTCAATTGATTAATTTTTAGAATCCGTTTCACTTTGAAAATATTTCAAAGATGCGATGTCAATAAACTACTAGATGAGTTACCAAGATCATATTTAAAAGTTTAGTATATAATAGGATACCTGAGAAAGTGAGAAAAATTTTTGATCCAGCCCTTTTTAGCCCGTCCCTCAAACGAAGATGTTTTTTTGTGTTTTTGGCTTTGAAATACGCCTCGCACCACAATTGTCATCCTGTTTAAACATTTTTTTTAAAATATTCGTTAAATTCCATAGAAATAAAAATAGTTTTTTTATTATCTAAAATAAATCATGGATAAATTAATTTCTTGGTTTACTTTTTTTTTCATTTTTGCAGGCCATATAAAATCTATCAAGATTATAGTATATTTATTTTTACCCTAGCGGACTCAGTGGAGAGTCCAACTCTCTATTTGTTCCACGATTAGAGAGTAAGTAGAGAATGGGTAGAGAGTTGGGCTGACAGGGCAGATTATCTACTCTCCAATGCTTTGAGAGAGTAGATAGCTGAGGCGAGGGATATGCTGACCCTTATTAACTGTGGCCCTTGAGAAATTTGACCCTCTAACGGACTGACCTGTGTACTTGGGACCTGTTTGAAATCCCGGAGCTCAAACTTTTGGACCCTGGAATGTTTTCAGCTGCAAATACTCTGATTTCATTTAAAATTTTTTAATTGGATCTTTGTGACCCTTATAATTTCAGACCCTTAATATTCCAGACCCTTAAATTGGGACTCTCAATAATTCTGACCCTTGAAAATATTGAAAAGTGCAACTTTTGACCCTTAAGCCTTCAGACCCTTAGACTAGTCGTACTATCTACTCTCTACTCTTGTAGAGAGTAGATAGTTGGGAGCGGATGCGTGGTGGGGGCTACTCTCTACTCTCTACGCGTCTAGAGAGTAGATAGTTGGCGGTAGGTGCGAGGTTTCAAAAATAAGGGTCTGAATGCCCTAAACGAGTAGAGAGTACGACTAGAGAGAGTAGAGAGTACGACCCCCACCACGCATCCGATCCCAACTATTGTTGTAGAGAATAGATAGTACGACTAGTCTAAGGGTAAGAAATTTTAAGAGTCTAAAATTTCACTGTACATATACATGTTCAAGGGTCAGCACTATTTAGGGTCAAATTTTTAGGGTCATCAGGAATGATGAGGGTCTAAAGAAAATAAGGGTCTGAATGCCCCCACCTCCCACCTACCGCCAACTATCTACTCTCTAGACGCGTAGAGAGCAGAGTAGCCCCCAACACGCATCCGATCCCGACTATTTACTCTCTACAACAGTAGAGAGTATATAGTACGGCTAGTCTAAGGGTCAGAAATATTAAGGGTCAAAAATTTAATTGTTATTATTTTCACGGGTCAGCACTATTGAGGGTCAAGTTTCACGGGTCATGAGGAACGATAAGGGTCTGAATTCCCCACCTCACACCTACCGCCAACTATCTACTCTCTAGACGCGTAGAGAGTAGCCCCCACCACGCATCCGATCCCAACTATCTACAGTGGACTCTGGTTAGAGGCATATTAGTTAGTGTCGAACTTCCCCTCAATTTTTTTGGCTCGCCCCTCGAGCGCTTCCCCACTCTGTCCCCACGCAAGCCGGAGAGTAAACACTCCAATATTTTTTTCAAATTGCTATTGTCTTCCGATTCGAGTAAAGACGAAAAATAAAATATTCTGCATTTGAATTGTCGATCAAAAAATTTAGTCCACTTCTGGCTGTCATGGGGGGAGAATCTCGTTTTCTTGGCATAAAATTAATTCGAAATTGGATTAAATAAAATAATGAAGCGAGGTAAAGAAAACGACTGTAACATTTTTGATTCACATGGTTCGTTAACTCCAGAAGAAATATATCTGTTCTATGGAATGTTAGGTACAAAGCTTCTGTGATCAAATATAGTCAATAAAATTAAAAATATTGATAATAAAAAAATCGTCTGAATCTATATGAATATTGCTATTATGGTTGAAGCTGTGAACTAAAGTTTATCATTAAAATAAAGCGTTGAATTGAGAGAGAAAAGAAATAGTATTTTTCATTTTATCGTTCCCAGTTCTCGGAAGTCGGGCTCGGCGTGAGCGCGTAGTGGGGGCAGGGAAATAGAGTCGAATTCTCCGAATTCGCTTCCCCTATCCTGCAAAACAGTCGACTCTAACCAGAGTTCACTGTACTTTCTACAACAGTAGAGTATATAGTACGGCTAGTCTAAGGGTCAGAAATATTAAGGGTCAAAAATTGAACTGTTTTCATTTTCAAGGGTCAGCACTATTGAGGGTCAAGTTTCACGGGTCATGAGGAACGATAAGGGTCTCAAAAATAAGGGTCTGAATGCCCCCACCAAGCACCTACCGCCAACTATCTACTCTGTAGACGAGTAGAGAGTAGCCCCCACCACGCATCCGATCCCAACTATCTACTCTCTACAAGAGTAGAGAGTAGATAGTACGACTAGTCCAAGGGTCTGAAGGTTTAAGGGTCAAAAGTTGCACTTTTCAATATTTTCAAGGGTCAGAATTATTGAGAGTCCCAATTTAAGGGTCTGGAATATTAAGGGTCTGAAATTATAAGGGTCACAAAGATCCAATTAAAAAATTTCAAATGAAATCAGAGTATGTTCAGTTGAAAACATTCCAGGGTCCAAAAGTTTGAGCTCCGGGAGTTCAAACAGGTCCCAAGTACAAGGGTCAGTCGGTTAGAGGGTCAAATTTCTCAGTGGCCATAGTTAATAAGGGTCAGCATATCCCTCACCTCAGCTATCTACTCTCTCAAAGCATTGGAGAGTAGACAATCTGCCCTGTTACCCCAACTCTCTACCCATTCTCTACTTACTCTCTAATCGTGGAACAAATAGAGAAATCACCGTACTCTCTACTGACTCTCACATAGGTCCGTTAGGATATAACATTAAACACCTTTTATTTACTATTTAATTGCTTAATTACTCAGGAAATGGATTTTTACATACAGGAGGAATATACAAAAGGAATAATAAACTGAAAAAATAATGTTGCTATGGTCTAATTGAGATAATCAATAAAACTACTTACTGCCATTCCATGAAATCTAACGAAAATTAAAAAAAAAATTCAATCGGATGAAAATAGTGATACGAGAAGCCTTTCAAAGTCAAAAACACGGAAAACGACACCTTCATTTGACACAAGAGGTAAAATGAAGAGAGTCTAAAATTTGTCTTGCTATTTTTCGGTACCTTATGATATATCAAGACTCACGTGATACCATTTCCATCAACCGAAGACTTTCAAACTTCACCTTGGTAGCCCCTCAATACAAAGAAAATTTTTTTTCAATCAAAGCCCGTTCTGCCAGTTCATGGTTGACTTATGAGCTACAAGTCATAAAATGATGACAAATTGACGATATACCACCCGTGCTGTATAAATAGCCGAGCCTTTCGTCGACGACTCAGCATTACTATAACCGAGCTCCTCATGAAACGTTCCATCAGCCAATTGCACTCTGACAAAGGCGGCGCATCCAATTTGATACTTTCCCAGAACATATTCCACAAAATCTGCAGGAAATGAATTCATTGCATCCTAATCGCCATAACCCTCTGCTGAAAATTTATCGTGTTCTGTATTACCTCCTACCTACTGTTTGGCTTGTGATTGCATGACTCCAATTTCCCTGTCCAAATACTTCATTAGCGATGGCAACTAATTCATTATACGTCCCAGTATGCGAGTCTTTAAGAATTCCGTTGGAATTTTTTTCTGGCGATATACATTGCTTTGCTAATGGCTACAAAATCGACGGTATGTTTTGTATGTCAACAATCACAAAGAATGAAATCAACAAGAAGGGCTATGAACAAAACAATGACCCTGAAGTTTGCAGACAAAAATCTTCAACAGAGCATATCTGGTGAGGAAATTGAACAATTAGAAAATTTCAAGTTTCAATTTGTTGGGCCTGACGACATCTAATCGTGACGGTGGCTACATATGTGAATGAATCAATTACGGGTTGCTTTCTTCGAAATTTAACTATGGAAAACCATTGACACGTCATATCTCACTTCGGAATTATTTCATTGAAAAAAAAAAAACATGGGCACGATTTTCATTCTACGAAACTTCGACGTGATTTTTGTCCTTTTTTTCTAGTCTTATCGGTCAACGTTAAATCCGCTGTAGAACACTAAATTTTTGGCAAGCTTCATTATTCATCCAAATGATCCGATCGAAAAAAGAAAAAGCATCACGTTTGAAAAAATTATAAATCTGGTCGTGATGTTTCTTGTTTTTTGTAAAAAATGTTTTATTAATGATATATGCAATGTTTTTCACGAGGGAAAACATCAACAGAGAATATCTACGAGGAAGATAAGTAGATTAGGACAAAAAACAAATGAAACGTTGGATTGCAATAAAACCTCAACGTGAAATGTTTTTTTTCAATTTCTCTTCGTTCTTTCCATGAAAAATAGTAGAATTACGAAAATAAATACGTTTAACATAGGATATCTGCTATACGAACAATGATGTCGAAAGGAAAAAAAATCACACTTCACATTCTTTCCCAATTGTTACGTGATATTTGTTGCTTTGCTTCTAATTATTATTCTCAGGGATCTACAATGGATGCTATAGTCATGACGCTGAATTTCTTATATCTAATCGTTTAACAAAGTGTATTTTGCGAGGAATTGGCAAAGAAATATGTCGCAAAGAAGAAAGAGCTAGAAACTCTAGAAACTCTAGTCACAAGAGAATGGGCAAATTGTACAAAGGTCACAAAAATCACTAGGATTACGAGGATCACAAGGTGCACACAGAAAACGTTGTGCAGATTATCTGCAATCTTATGCAGGTTTTACACATAAGCTCCGCGAACCTCCCACTATGTGTAAAGTCTGCATAGTTATGCCTGAAATATGCATAAAGTATGTATGAAATCTGCTAGTAACCAATTGCAGATTATCTGCACTATTTATGCATGTTCCGCCCATAAGAGTTCCGCAGAAAAAAAAGCCAGTACTCACCGAAACTTTAACGAATTGTGACTTTAACAATTCGGAATTTCATAGAGAAAGCAAGAAAAAATTGTAAATTCTAAATCAATAATTTAAGGGGATAATGGGACAAAATAGAACAGTAGAGGAAAGTGAAAAAGCGCTGTTTGTTGTATTAGTTTCGACTCTTCATCACGCTGTGGGTAGTTAAGTTTCAGTTTGTCTCGGCCTCCCCTATAAAAGGTAAATAAGTTGAAGAAAATAAGTACGCACGAAAAAATTTAGTAGAAAATCCTCGCAAATTTGCTAGACAATTCTTTTGAATTGTTAAATAGAAAATATTCTATTGATGCAGTTCCACATAAAAACGCAAGGTCAAAAAACTCAATTACGGGGATGTTTTCGCTAATTTTTTCTCCTGAGTGGGATGAGAGTTATTTCTCAGGTTGCCTTTTAATGGTTTAAATGAGAACATTGCTGAAACTTGAAAAAGTAAGAATTCATTTTCTTCGTATATCCATCAAAAACGTCGTTTTTCACGTTTTTAGCTTAGAAATGCCCCTTGTACCAGTTTTCGTCCGATTTCAACTTTTTTTTTTTTAATGTTTGCTATACTCCAACGAACAAACCCAAGTATCCGTTTTGCTTTATATTTATCAGATAATGAGAAAATGATTTTTTTAGTTTCTATTTTTTTTCCTCTTTTTAGCAAATGTTAAAACTAGTTGTTTTTCGTTATTCCACCTTGTAATCATACGTAATCGAAATATTATAACAAAAAAAATGGGGGGGAAACAACGAATTTTAGCATTTGCTAAAAAGAGTAAAAAAAATAAAAAGTAAAAAAAACATTTTCTCATCATCTAATAAATATAAAGTAAAACGGATACTTGGGTTTTTTCGTTGGAGTATAACGAACATTAAAAAAAAAAAGTTGTAATCGGATGAAAACTGTGGTCCAAGGAGCCTTTTTAAGCTAAAAACGTGAAAAATGACGTTTTTGGTGGATATACGGGGCAAAACGGTTCGAGTCCGAAATTTTTTTCACTTTTTTATCTATCCCTTCATATATCAAAAGTCATCCAATGGCTGTTGAGGCCGAGTCGAGACTTTCAAATTTCACCGTGGTCTCCCCTTGAAAATTTTTTTCTGAATGTTGTTTAAAACTTTAGAAATTCCTCGATTATTTTGGAAAACTAAAATTTTATTCAAATTTCCAGAACACCTAAGAATTTTATTCAATTTTTTAGCAATTCCGGGAATTTCTTCAGAGTTTCTAGAAACTCCTTGAATTCACTTAAATTTTCCAGAAACTCCCTGATTTTTCTCGAAATTTCTAGAATCTTCTTGCATTTCCTTGAATTTTCTAGAAACTCCTTAAATTTTCTCGAAATTTCTAAAAACTCCTTGCATTCCCTAAAATTTTCTAAGAATCCCTGAATTTCCTCGAAATTTGTAGAAGCTTCTCAATTCCCTGGGAATTTTTGGAAACTCCTAGAATTTCCTCAAAATTTCTAAAAACTCCATGCATTTTCTTGAATTTTCTAAAAATTTCTTGAACATTTTAGAATTTTCTAGAAACTCCTTGAATTCTCTCGAAATTTCTAGAAATTCCCTGAAGTCCCTTGAATTTTCTAGAAAAATCTAGACCTGTAAGCTCAATTTCCCAAAACGACTCCTCATGACGAAAACATAGACGTATCCTCATCAAAATTTCGCCCTTATGCGTAAATCATGCCAAATCTGTGCGGAAAGTACGCATAGATGTGCAGATAATCCGCATAAAAATTGTGTATTTCATGCATAGTTATGCGGATAATCTGCATAACTATGCATGATTCACGCACTATTTATGCATGATTTGCACATAAGAGAGTGACTTCGGCTTATGTGTGAATCCCGCATAACTATGCAGATTATCCGCATAAGTGTGCAGATAATCTGCACAGCGTTTTCTGTGTGTAATGGTTAAATTTCACGAGGATCAAGCATGACGAATATTATGAGGGGACGGTCGAATTTTACAACGGTAAAAAATCGTGACGATTACAAGGGTCATAAGGGAATGGTCAAATTTTGCAAGGCTCAAACATCACAAGAGTCACGAGTCAAATTTCACGAGGGTCACAAGGGGATGGTCAAATGTCACAAGGGTCACAAGAGGGTACTCAAATTTATCGAGGGTCAAACATCACGAGGGTCACTAGGGAAGTCAAATTTTACAAGGATCAAACATCACGAGAGTCACAAGAGGATGATTGCAGTCCAGGAGAGTCAAACATCACGAGGAGAACGAGGGGATGGTCAAATTTTACGAGGGTCGAATATCCTGAGGGAAATTCTCGGATTTTCTAGAAAGTTTGAGAAAATGCTCGGACTTTCTCAAACATTCGCACATTATTTTTATCATTCTTTTTGTCTTCACATTTCTCTGAGACTAAATTTCTCGTAAGATTTACAACGCAAAATTGTGAAATTTAACCATTTAACCATTCCCTTGTGACCCACATGTCCCTCGTGATGTTTGACCATTCCGTTGAGACCTTCGTGATGTTTGACCCTTGGAAAATTTGACAATCCTCTGAAGACTCTCGTGAACTTTGACCAGCCCCTTGTTACTCTCGTGACCCTCGTAAAATTTGACTATCCTCCTGTGACCTTTGATGAAGTTTGACCATCTCTGTGACTTTTTGAAGAAAAATTATGTTTCCCATTTTCTAAGTTTTATACTCACGAGACCAAGACGATATTCTCTTAACCGAGACCGAGACGATACTGGAAATTTGGATATTTTTCGAGACTGTCGAAAGTCTCGTCTCGTGCGTAGCCCTAAAAAGAAGAAACTCACGGGAGTTTTTAAGAATAACATGAATAAATGTCAATTTTTTAAGAATATAATCATTTTTGTAGAAGATATCCGATGTTGAACGTATTTATTTTCGTAATTCCATCATTTTCAATAGAAATATCGAAGAAAAATCGAAAAAAGAAATTTCACGTTGAGTTTTTATTGTAATCCAACGTTTCATTTGTTTTTTGTCCCAATCTACGTATCTTCCTCGTAGATATCCTCTGTTGATGTTTTCCCGCGTAGAAAACATTGCATAAATCATTAATGAAACATTTATTACAAAAAAAAAAACAAGGAACATCACGAGAAGATTTATAATTTCTTCAAACGTGATGCTTTTTCTTTTTTCGATCGGATCATTTTGATGAATAATGGCGCTTGCCAAAAATTTAGTGTTCTACAGCGGATTTAACTTTAACCGATAGGACCAGAAAAAAACCACAAAAATCACGTCGAAATTTCGTAGATTGAAAATCGTGACCATGTTTTTTTTCCAATAAAATAATTCCGGAGTGAGATATGCCGTGTCAATGGTTTTCCATAGTTAAATTTTGAAGAAATCAACCCCTAATTTATTTATTTACATATTCAGCCACCATCACGATTAGATTTCGTCACACCCGACAAATTGAAATTTTCTCATTGCTCAATTTCCACGTATAAAAAAATCATATAGAAATTTTCTATACGGATTGCGTATAGAAATTCTATAGGATTTCCTTATATGATATTCGGATATTTCTATACGAATATTCTCTATACGAATTATTTCTGTATATAAATTTTTACATAAATTTTAGTTTTCATACAAAAGATGTCTAAACGCTCGGGAGAAAAACGTAGAGAAATGTCGCAACTCCATACGAAATGTTTCTATACATGTGGCAGTGGGTCGTATAAGATCAAACCTATAGAAATCGTATAGAAATAATTTGTATAAAAAATATCCGTATAGAAATATCCGAATATCATATACGAAAATCCTATAGAAATTTTCTATACGGATTGCGTATAGAAAATTTCTATACGATTTTTTCATGCGTGTCTTCATCAGATATGGTGTGTTGAAGATTTCTGTCTGCAAACTTCAGAGTCATACAAAACACTGAAAAATTGAAAGAGGTAAAAGGTCAATAATATTATTTTGGATACTCACAATCTTTATGCAAGAATGGAAGTTCATAATTAATATCCAAAACAATCATGAAGCACTAAAGATACGATAACCGAAAACAAACAATGGTATCTTGAAAATCGCAGTACTCCGTTTGAATTTCGAGGTTAGGATTGTTGGGGAGGTGTATTTTGGGCTCGCCGATACTTCTCCCGAGTTTTACTAAACGCTGGACTCAATGAAACGAATGTGGATACATTCAAATAAATAATAATGCGATAGACATTACGACTAAATAAATTGTTCGCTAATAAAGTTGAAAAGCAAGAAAATATTGTATTCAGTAATGGAATAATAAATTGTGAGAAATAACGGAATACCACTAAGGTATGATACAAGCAGGTATGATGAACCCAGAAATCAGGGGACAAGTTCGCCGGAGCGCCAAAAGCGGCGTTCCGGTCGACTTACGCTTGCCCTCATCGCCTTTAGTCTCCCACCACTGGCACTTATTTTGCTGGAGGGAACGTTATGAAATTTATATTTTAAGTCAAAATAATTAGCCCCGTATGAAATTACATGTACAATGCGAAGAAAAATAAAAAAATGCAAATATATTCATGGTTTTTCATGTACTATTTCTTTCATAGTCAATGGCCCGCTCACTCTTTCATTAATGGGGTGATTTTTATCTTATAATAGGTGAATTCTTTCTTTTTTTACTGAAAATAATTACCAAGATTGAGAGTGAAATCACTGCTCAATGTAATAGCAGTTAAAAATAAAATGAAAATGCATTTTTGTCCAATGTTGAACAATATTTATTTTTCGCGCGAAAATATCTCGCGAATGTTGTTTGTTTATGGCTGCTCCAAAACATATTCCAATAGATCTGAACAGTCTGTGCGAGTTGATTCATGCAAAATGGTTAAATCGTGTGCAATTATAAATTGCAAAGCATCTTCTAGGGATAATTATCGTTTTTTCTCCCTTCCCAGTGTGAAAAAAATTGAGAAGCGACGACAATGGCTGGAAAAAAGCGGTGATTTGCTACCGAGTGATCAAGTGTCAAAGAACGATTGTTATTTGTGTGAGGTGCGTAAGTGAATAGTTGGGACTTTTTTTT